CCTTCCCTCCCACCTCCCCTTCCAACTTAACAGCTGGAGGCAACTCTCCGTGCTTCTGGCTCTGCTCCATGCTGTGATGCGGCTGCGTGCAGCACAGGCCTCCGTTGGCTCCGTGGGGCCAATATCCAATCAAGACAATTTTCTTTACATCAGTACTGATCCAATATCAGACCAATGGATCGGTACATCTGTATCTGTAAGACTGGAGTCCATAATCGTACAATAGATGAATTTAAGCATCCTAGTTTTATCTGTCAAAGAAAACGAATTAAGAATGAGTCTACTCTAATAGTGAATCCTTTTTCGTTACTGTAAGTGCACGTATTTTAAGTATATACTTATATGTACTGTTATGATGGACATTAGTTTTCATTTTGACATGTCTATAGACCTCTCCTAAAGCATACAGGCTGTAACAGCATATACTCAAACTAACAATATTTGCATTAAAACGTACAGTTTAGAAGGTCGCTTAGGTATAATGTCCAGTAATTTGAAGGAATATTTTCTAACATACTAACAAATTCCCTGTCAAGAATGACCAGGTTGGGGGCAGACGAGGACAGAGCCCTGCTGCTCCAGGTCCCGCCCCGCCCCTGCTGCTTCAGGTCCAGCCCTGCTCCACCCCCACTGCTCCAGGTCCGACCCTGCTCCACCCTGCAACTCCACATCCTCTTGGTCCGCATCTGCCTCCCTCCCTGCCTGCCACCTCCCCATCCCTGCCGGCTGTTTTGGGGGGCAGTGGGGCCAGGCAGCAGAGGGCTACTGCCACCATGATCCCCTCCCTTTGCCCTCAGCCAGGGAGGCAGTGGGATGCCCCGCTGCCTGGGTGGCCAGGGTGTTTGCCGCTGCCGCAAACTTCCCTGGCAGCTTGGTTACATGCAGCCTGGGCCGCCCAACCAATCACTGCCCATCGCTCAGCAGCACGTGCATAGTTGCCCAAAAGTGTTGCGGACAGACAGAGTAAGGCTTTTATTATTAGATTGGCAGTAAAGCAACAAAAATGACTTACTGGTTAATCACAATGTGTTTTTTGGGTTGCAGTTTACTAGCATGCTTAAGATCTCAGAATTGAAAGTTGATCTTTATAGTCCCACAAGCTGGTGCTAGGGGCTGGCATCCCAGTTGCACTGCCATTTTAGTTACACTACTGCTTATTTTTTCATCTGGCATTTTTATATATATATTCACATGTGATGTGCAAAACATAGAAGTTGCATAAAACATTTCCAGTTTCTACCAACTGTCGTCTTCCTTCATTAATATTTAGATCTTTCTGCATAAGTGGAAAGGACACCATTTAGTATGACATTGGAATCTTACTCAGGATGCATGAATCCTCTCCATCATCAGTTTAAGCATTTTAGAGATGTGTTTTTGTCTTTTAGGGAAGTTTGTCAGCTTGAAGGAAGGATTATATTTTAGTTCCAGCATTAAGGATCAGGAGCTGAGTAATATCTCTCCATGATTCAGACTGTTTCGGTAATCTTGGAAGAGTCACTTGATGTCTGTTCCTCTCTAAGTGGGGAGATTGTGTTTTACCTACCATATATGTTGACTGCTGGTGCTTAATTTATTAATGGCTGTAAAGTGTAGCAAGATTTGAGTAAAAAGTAATCACAAGGAGCCAAATATTTTTTTCCAAAATTAAAGCTACAAAAAAGTTTAGTTTCATAGTTTCTAGGGTCGGAAGGGACATGAGAAGATCATCTAGTCCGACCTCCTGCCATGGCAGGAAAGAGTGCTGGGGTCAAACGACCCCAGCAAGGTGTTCATCTAACCTCTTCTTAAAAACCCCCAGGGTAGGAGCCTGCACCACCTCCCTTGGAAGTTGGTTCCAGACCCTAGCCGCCCTGACCGTGAAATAGCGCCTTCTGATGTCTAACCTAAATCTACCCTCTGCTAGCTTGTGA